AAAAAAAAGAAAATGTATCTAAGGCTTGTTTATAAACCTTGAGTGTAAGTTATAATAATTATCATCACTATAACATAACAGATATCCTGTTTACCAATATTAACAATCTACTGAGTCATACAGATATCTAAATAATTGATTCTAGAAAGTCTGGAATGAGCAAAGAACCAAGTTTTGTGGGATTCATAAGGGGGAACAAAGTTAATTCTATTTAGAAAATTTGAAAGACTTCTTAGAAGATGCAGCGTATAGACTATTTTATCAATTATAACAGGTGTACTGAGTCCCTCCATGTTTTTCTCAGTTACTTGTTTTCATATCTTTTTTCATCATCAGTTTTAAAATATGGCCAGTTAAGAGTCATAGTAATTATTTTTTAAGGAAATCTACTTTAAATTTAAAAAAAAAAATTTATCCAGAACACACAGTATCATTTTCAGCTTCTACTTGTGAAGTAAAGCAAACAGGGAAAGAAGTAACTATAATATACAAAGCAGACTTCAAGTTTCCTTATTTGTATATATGCTATATGTAATCTTAGGCTTAAAAGTCCCAGCAGGATTAAAACATTTTGCTGCAGCTACTACTTTATGCCTATCATGGGTAAAGACTACATCTGAACTTATAATAGCCACTTATCTTAAGCCCAAGTTAATTACAGTGTCCCCTGGAGAAAAAAGTTTTCATAAATTATTAATGACCTGATTTTTTAAAAAAATGCTTTCAGCAAACGTGAAAATAGAAAATCCTTTAATTTCTTTGTTGATTTATAATAATAAGAAAAAAAGCAGATGCATTATTGTACAGAAAAAGTGGATTTAGAGAATAGTTCTGATAGCATTGCACATGGTAAAATATCAGAAGGGCTAATAGGCAGCCCCCTTGCTAAGAGGAAAAATTATTTCAATGTATTCATCTTCTGAATTACTCAGTAATTCCAAATGATTTTCAAACTGGGAGGCACACTACTGACATTAAATTCATAAAATTTGGGTCTATCTTGAACAGGGACATGACAAAATATAGGAATCTCTTTGACCCTATACTTCCAGTGAAAACTGGAGTTAGGCCTCACATGGTTCAAATCATTAACTAAATGTGCCAAGAAACTGAACTTCAGATGATCTTTCAGGGAGATTAACCAAAAACATCTTTACCATGAGATTTCAAATAACTCTGGAGATCTTCAGGTGAGGTCCATGTTTGGCATTGTAAGGGTGAAAACACTGGGATAGGTCTTTCCTTCACCTTTTCTGCCTCATCACCATGGGCTTTTCCTCTTTTTTGTATTGTGCATTCTTCGCCAAGACCATCCACATGAAGCCTCTTCTGGAAATGCAGATGTCCTGGACACAGACAGCAAA